GTCCCCCTCGGCTCTCCCGCACACTCCCTCCAGGCACCCCATCCCACACCTCCTTACTCCCGTCCCCTTCGGCCCTCAACCAGAGCAGAGCCGCTCAGGAGGGCACACGGTGCTGCAGGCCTAGCATGTCACACGCAGAGCCGAGGCCACCCGCTGGGAAGCCCACCGCCGGCAGGGAGCGCAGCCTACGCACCGAATGATGCCTCACGGTAATACTCCCCACAGAACCCTGCAAGGGTTCAGATGAACATTAATCGCTCAACTCATGTAAACTCAATGAGGACTTTGTTTTCATTTTAGAGGCAGGGTCTCACTCTATCACTGAGACTGGAGTGCAGTGGTATGGAGCTCACTGCAGCCTCAACCTCTTGGGTTCAAGCAATCCTCCCGCCTCAGCCTCCCAAACGACTGGGACTAGAGGCACACACCGCCACATCTGGCTAATTTTTACTTTTTTGTACAGATGGGGTCTCCCTATGTTGCTCAGGCTGGGCTTGAACTCCTAGTCTCAAGTGATCCTCCCACCTTGGCCTCCCAAAGTGCTGGGATTACAGGCACAAGCCACCATGCCCAGCCTCAACAAGGACTTTAAGGGGTCCGGACAGCAAGAAGTCAAAAAAACTCTGCTCTAGGGTGAGGACACAAAACTCTGCCTGGAGAGATCCATGGGGGGGACTGTGGCGCCCCAGCAGACAGCCACGGCAGCAAGGCCCCTAAGGGCTGCCAGCCAGTCACCACTGGTGGCAGTGCAGGAATAACCTGTGGGGCCAAAGCCCCACCCACCAGCTCACAGATGCGGGAAAGGTGATGAGTCCTCATTCTAGGCCCAGAAGTTCCAGGGTTGATTACTCAGAAAGAGGTAAGCAAGACCCACCCACAGCCAAGCCAGGGGCTGCTGAGCCACGCCCAAGATTAGAGACTTGTGCGTTTGGTGCAGTGCCTGACACCTGACCCTGGTGGCTGACCATGCGGCCTGCCTGCCAGTCGTGGGCGTGGGATGCACACCACACCCTGGCCGCACTGCCTGTGCCAGGGGCAGAAGCAGGGACCATGAAGTCGTGTGTTCTGCTGAGAGCATCAACCAGAGCAGAGCCGCTCAGGAGGGCACACGGTGCTGCAGGCCTAGCATGTCACACGCAGAGCCGAGGCCGCCCGCTGGGAAGCCCACCGCCGGCAGGGAGCGCAGCCTACACACCGAATGATGCCTCACGGTAATACTCCCCACAGAACCCTGCAAGGGTTCATTTTATTCTATATTGTTATCTTTAACATTAAAAACTTGGCTACCAGTGACACTGATTATTTCTTTTAACCCACAACATCCACAAGATGGCTGCCAAATTGAGAGCAATGTGACCTGCCACCGAAGCCTCCTGAGCGCACTCTGAGGTCTCCTCGCTGTTCCTCCCGTCCTCAGACGGTCCCCCGTGCCCAAATGAGCTCAAGGGCTTTGCTGGCACAGCTCTTCAGCTCGGAGGCGATGCAGGTGATACACAGCCAGGCTCACTGGTTCTGCTCACAGAGGCTTCCCTCCCTGCCCCTTCATCTATTCAACTGATACAGGAGCTGAGTCACATGCACTCCTGCTGGCTAAATTTGACACAGCCCATTCATCAAAATATCATTAAAGACGACAATCGACTGAAAAATATTAAATAAATAAAAACCCACACGTCCGTGGAACCATGAGCGGGAGGAGGCAAAGGCAGCCCTTCTGAGACAAGGCACCAGGGAGCCAGGGCTCCCTCCACAGGCCTGCATGGCGAGTACCCTCCCTCACCTCCACAGGTCTCAGCTCAACGGCACCTTCTCAAAGAGGCCTTCTAGAGCCCCTACTCTAACAGCTCTCCAGGCACCCCATCTCACACCTCCTTACCTCCGTCCCCCTCCAGGCACCCCATCCCACACCTCCTTACCTCCGTCCCCCTCGGCTCTCCCGCACACTCCCTCCAGGCACCCCATCCCACACCTCCTTACTTCCATCCCCCTCGGCTCCCCTGTGCACCCCCTCCAGGCACCCCATCCCACACCTCCTTACTTCTGTCCCCCTCGGCAGTGGGGAAGCTGCCCAGGGGTGGCCCGTTGCCTCTGTTTATGCGTGTCCCGAGCACTCAGAGCAGGCGGCACGCATGCAGGTCTCCAAGAGGAACCTGACTCAACCCAGATTCTCAGGCCCACGCTCTTGTGTTTCATGACACTGCTGCTATGACAAATGGTCCTGTCACATGTGGCACAAAGAACAGGGCACGCAGTAGAAGGGCAGACATGCTGGGAGGAGGAACCCAAAGCAGCCTCCCATGTAGAGGGCCGGCCGCAGACTATGGGGAGAGGCCAGGGCTGTGCATGACAAACTCAACACAGACAAGCCATGCTCACACCAGCAGCTTTCAACCCACGCCCAAGCTAATTTTATGCTCCCTGGGCTCACGCCCAGGCCTGGCCCCAGGCTCAGGCATCCGGCTCCTCAGGGCCACCTGGCACCATCAGGCCTTTCCATGGGCTGAGGACAAATCCCAGCAAAGCAGGAGTTAGGAGCTTCCACAGACGGTGCAGGCCAAACCCCGAGACAACAGCCCCACGTGGGCTCCTGAGACTATGCTGCTGTGGGGATAGGGTCTGCCAACCCACAGCCTGCACAGCCACCATGTCTGGAGGGGAAGAGGCGCTGCTGAAAGGGTGCTTGGAAGAAAAGTCTCCCAACCTTGCAAAGGTCACAGGCAAAAGGGAAACAGCATGGTGCCTCTGTGCTTTCCAACCCTCCAGCTCGCCTGCTTTCTGCAGGGAAAAGCTGAATACCTTTGTGGGAGCTCTTTGCCTCCCCGCCTGCCACAGCAAAATGCTCGATGACACAGACCAAAACCACCACCAGACAGGGCAAAAAACAGGAGCTGTGGCACTTAGCTCCCTCACGTTAGCCTCGGGACATCCGCAAACAACTGCAGGGATGAATAAACACACATTCCAGCCAGGGAGCTTCAAAGAGAAGGGAGCCAGGGACAGCAATGCGAGTGTGGCCACAGTCCACGGGCCAAGCAATGCCACAGATCACACGCGGCCTGGAAGACCTGCCCACCATCTCCTTCTTTTCCCTTTAACCTTCCACATTTTGTTTGTACCAATTGTTTCTACTTCCGCTGAACACCAATGGGTGTGCCCCAGCCAGGAGAAATCCTGTGCAGAGAAAAAACAAACACGGTGAAGGCAAAGAATGGGAGGCCCTTCTGGCCAAGACAGACGGGAACAGCACACGCCCTTCCCTTCCAGACAGGTCTAGCACTGGCAGGAGGCTGCACACACACAAATCACCACGGAGAAACAAAGGCCATGGCCCTGCGGCTCCCAACCAGCACTCAGTGGCCCTAACAAAAGTTGCAGTGGGCCCTGATGTTTCTAACCCACACCGTGTGGACAAAGGAAACACTGGGGTGACAGTGGCACGGCACGGAGCTCCTCCCTCACAGTGGCCTCAACGCCCCTCTTACCATACCAGATGACCACAGCAGAGACCACGGCTGCCTCTGGAGGGGGTCTGCTGGTGCACCACACCCCTGTTCGATCTGACAGCAGCACTTGGCAGGCAGACCCCTAGTGTGGCTGGCTTTCCCAGGGCTGGGGGAGGCCTTCACGAGTCAGGACACAAGGGTGGCACCTGGTGGTGGCAACACCAAAGCAAAGACCCGAGGTGGGGACTGCACTGTCTCAGATACACTCACGATGAGAAACGCAGTCCTGCTGTTTACCAGCCCCCGAACCACGGACGCCGCCTGGGGGCTGCACCGTCTCAGATACACTCAAGATGAGAAACACAGTCCTGCTGTTTACCAGCCCCCCAACCACGGACGCCGCCTGCAGCTCCCCTGGGGGGCTCACCCCCAGCTTCAAGGACACGTGTGCAAGGGTTCCTAGGGGGTTTATGGGGAGGCTCCTTCTAAAAAGGGCTCCAGGTATCCACGACCATTGCTTTTTTTTTTTTAACTGTCACCCAGGCTGGAGTGCAGTGGCGCGATCTCCGCTCACTGCAATCTCCACGTCCCAGGTTCAAGTGATTTTCCTGCCTCAGCCTTCCGAGCAGCTGGGATTACAGGCACGTGCCACCACGCCCGGCTAATTTTTTGTATTTTTAGTAGAGACGGGGTTTCACTGTGTTAGCCAGGATGGTCTCAATCTCCTGACCTCGTGATCTGCCCGCCCCGGCCTCCTAAAG